TTCATCTTGGGGTGGGCTTACCTGTGCATCTCTAGGATAACATTATAGACATCAGGTGGGGTCTACCTGTCAGGTGTTGCAGGTGTCAAGGTGGAGTCTGTTAAAGGCAAAGCTCTCCTATGAATGAGGGAATCCAAAGAAATACTATTCATCTTGGGGTGGGCTTACCTGTGCATCTCTAGGATAACATTATAGACATCAGGTGGGGTCTACCTGTCAGGTGTTGCAGGTGTCAAGGTGGAGTCTGTTAAAGGCAAAGCTCTCCTATGAATGAGGGAATCCAAAGAAATACTATTCATCTTGGGGTGGGCTTACCTGTGCATCTCTAGGATAACATTATAGACATCAGGTGGGGTCTACCTGTCAGGTGTGGCAGGTGTCAATGTGGGTGTGTTAAAGGCAAAGCTCTCCTATGAATGAGGGAATCCAAAGAAATACTATTCATCTTGGGGTGGGCTTACCTGTGCATCTCTAGGATAACATTATAGACATCAGGTGGGGTCTACCTGTCAGGTGTTGCAGGTGTCAAGGTGGAGTCTGTTAAAGGCAAAGCTCTCCTATGAATGAGGGAATCCAAAGAAATACTATTCATCTTAGGGTGGGCTTACCTGTGCATCTCTATGATAACATTATAGACATCAGGTGGGGTCTACCTGTCAGGTGTGGCAGGTGTCAAGGTGGGGTGTGTTAACGGCTGAGCTCTCCTATGAATGAGGGAATCCAAAGACATACTATTCATCTTGTGGTGGGCTTACCTGTGCATCTCTAGGATAACATTATAGACATCAGGTGGGGTCTACCTGTCAGGTGTGGCAGGTGTCAAGGTGCGGTGTGTTAATGGCTTAGGTCTCCTATGAATGAGGGAATCCAAAGAAATACTATTCATCTTGGGGTGGGCTTACCTGTGCATCTCTATGATAACATTATAGACATCAGGTGGAGTCTACCTGTCAGGTGTGGCAGGTGTCAAAGTGGGGTGTGTTAATGGCTAAGCTCTCCTATGAATGAGGGAATCCAAAGAAATACTATTCAGCTTGGGGTGGGCTTACCTGTGCATCTCTATGATAACATTATAGACATCAGGTGGGGTCTACCTGTCAGGTGTTGCAGAAGCCCAGGTGAAAATGAATCAGGGTGGAGTCTGTTAAAGGCAAAGCTCTCCTATGAATGAGGGAAGCCAAAAAAACACTATGACTGTGTGGGGTGGGCGTACCTGTGCAGGTGATCCAAATGCCTTGGGCCCCAGTCATGGATTCCTGCAATTTCCGCTGGGTTTGGCCAGGTGTTACCTGCCACCTGCAGAACCTGTTTGCTGGGTGGTTTCGCTCTCCTTGGAATTTAAAGAAAAATACTCCTTGAAAAATGAGGTGGGGAGAACAAGGGCTCTGCTCACATTCAGTGACCAGGTAATCTGGACTTTTGTAACTTTAAGGAGTGTGGAAACGGCATTCGAGCCTTGAGGGCAAGCTTGAGGTCATCCAGACAGACCTGACGTCAACGTAGATGGCATATCATGTCTGTCTGGATGGCCTCAATGACCTGGGTTATCAATGTCATTGCCTAATGGGTTCTATTATGCAAACATGGGAAAAGTTGATTAAACTGCCATAACTTTGTTCTTTGCGAGAGGGACATTTCTACTCCAGAAACTTTGTTTTGGTGGCAGCAGTTGAATTGTTTGACACTGAGCTACTGAACTTGCTGACCGAAAGGTCGCAGGTTCGAATCCAGGGAGCGGTATGAGCTCCCGCTTTTAGCCCCAGCTTCTGCCAACCTAGCAGTTCGAAAACCTGCAAGTGTGAGTAGATCAGTGGGTACCGCTTCTGTGAGAAAGTAACGGCACTCCATGCAGTCATGCCAGCCACATGACCTTGGAGGTGTCTATGGACAATGCCGGCTCTTCAGCTTAGAAATGGAAGTGAGCACCAACCCCTAGCGTCAGACTCGACTAGACCAAACTAAATCTCAAGGGAAACCTTTATGTTTACCTTAGTAATACATCCCAATAATAATAGTACTAAGATCATCCCAATAATGACAATAATAGTAAAAGTAATAATAATATATCCCAGTACTAATAGTAATAATATCCAACAACAACAGTAACAACAACAATATACTACTAATAATATAATATATACAATAATAAACATAATAATAATATATCCCAGTACTAATAGTAATAATATCCAACAACAACAGTAACAACAACAATATACTACTAATAATATAATATATACAATAATAAACATAATAATAATATATCTCAGTACTAATAGTAATAATATCCAACAACAACAGTAACAACAACAATATACTACTAATAATATAATATATACAATAATAAACATAATAATAATATATCCCAGTACTAATAGTAATAATATCCAACAACAACAGTAACAACAACAATATACTACTAATAATATAATATATACAATAATAAACGTAATAATAATATATCCCAGTACTAATAGTAATAATATCCAACAACAACAGTAACAACAACAATATACTACTAATAATATAATATATACAATAATAAACATAATAATAATATATCTCAGTACTAATAGTAATAATATCCAACAACAACAGTAACAACAACAATATACTACTAATAATATAATATATACAATAATAAACATAATAATAATATATCTCAGTACTAATAGTAATAATATCCAACAACAACAGTAACAACAACAATATACTACTAATAATATAATATATACAATAATAAACATAATAATAATATATCTCAGTACTAATAGTAATAATATCCAACAACAACAGTAACAACAACAATATACTACTAATAATATAATATATACAATAATAAACATAATAATAATATATCCCAGTACTAATAGTAATAATATCCAACAACAACAGTAACAACAACAATATACTACTAATAATATAATATATACAATAATAAACATAATAATAATATATCTCAGTACTAATAGTAATAATATCCAACAACAACAGTAACAACAACAATATACTACTAATAATATAATATATACAATAATAAACGTAATAATAATATATCCCAGTACTAATAGTAATAATATCCAACAACAACAGTAACAACAACAATATACTACTAATAATATAATATATACAATAATAAACATAATAATAATATATCTCAGTACTAATAGTAATAATATCCAACAACAACAGTAACAACAACAATATACTACTAATAATATAATATATACAATAATAAACGTAATAATAATATATCCCAGTACTAATAGTAATAATATCCAACAACAACAGTAACAACAACAATATACTACTAATAATATAATATATACAATAATAAACATAATAATAATATATCTCAGTACTAATAGTAATAATATCCAACAACAACAGTAACAACAACAATATACTACTAATAATATAATATATACAATAATAAACATAATAATAATATATCTCAGTACTAATAGTAATAATATCCAACAACAACAGTAACAACAATATACTACTAATAATTTAATATAATATAATACTAATAATTTAATATAACCCAATAACAACATATCCTAACAATACATCCCAATACTAATACTATAATGTATCACAATAATAACAATAAATAATGTAATCAACAGCTGTATAATATATGCTATCTAGGTTTACATTAGACTAATCAGGTCTGGTAACAACAACAAACAACAACAATAAGAATAATCCCAGTACTAATACTACTAATAATATAATATAACCTAATAATAATAATAATAATAATAATAATCCCAATACTAATACTACTGATAATATAGTATAACCCAATAATGATAATAATAATAATAATAATAATAATAATAATAATAATAATTCCCAGTAGGAATACTACTAATAATATAATATAACCCAATAATAATAATAAATTGCAGTACTAATACCACTCGTAATATAATATAATCCAATAATAATAATAATAATAATAATAATAACAAATCCTAGTACTAATACTACTAATAATATAACCCAATAATAATAATAATAATAATAATAATAATAATAAATCCTACTACTAATAATATAATATAACCCAATAATAAAAATAATCAATCGCAGTAGCAATACTACTAATATTATTCTAATATAACCTAATAATAATAATAATAATAAATCCTAGTACTAGTATATATATTATTACTTATAATATAACCCAATAATAATAATAATGTCCCAATACTAATACTACTAATAATATAATATAACCCAATAATAGTAATAATAAATCCCAGTACTAATACGACTCATAATATAATATAACCCAATAATAGTAATAATAAATCCCAGTACTAATACGACTCATAATATAACCGCAATAATAATAATACTAATACTAATAATAAATCCTAGTACTAATACTATACTACTAATATAACCCAATAATAATAATAAATCCCAATACTAATACTACTAATAATACAATATAACACAATAATAATAATAATAAATCCTAGTACTAATACTATACTACTAATATAATATAACCCAATAATAATAATAATAATAATAATAAATAAATCCCAGTACTAATATGACTCACAATATAATATAACCCAATAATAATAATAATAATAATAATAATAATAAATCCTAGTACTAATACTACTAATAATATAATACAGCTCAATAATAATAATAATAATAACATATCCTAATAATAATAATAATAATAATAATAATAATAATAATATATCCTAATACTAATACTACAATATATCACAAGAATAATGGTAAATAATGTAATCAACAGCTGTGTACGCCATCGATGTTGACATCAGACCAATCAGGTCTGTCTAGATGACCTCAAGCTTGCCCTCAAGGCTTTCGAATGCAAAAGGGTGGGGATTGTGGGCTGGCTTTGTACAAAAAGCTCTACTTAAGGCCTCCTCCCAATGTTTGGTTCCTGTTGAGTTTGTGTGTGTGGTTCCTGCAAGGGAAGGGCCTCCAACCTGCCTGCTTCACCTGCCTGGAGGAGCAACCTGTGTGTGCTTGTGCGGTCTCCTTACCTTTCCCATTGGAAAGGCCGGGCACTCATGGCAGCCCCCCAAAAGGAGGCTTTGGGGTCCCCTGATTGGCAGCAGCGCTTTGAGTCCAAATGGGGCCTGGGTGCGAAAGGGGTCCCACTCCCCAAAGATCCAGACTGGGAGGCTTTATGGAAGCGGAAACCCTTCCAAAGGAACCTTTTGCAGAACCCCAACCCTGAAGGTAAGCAATGCATGGGGTTGAATCCAGGTGTGGGACAAGTTCAGCCCTCCAGGTGTTTTGGACTTCAACTCCCACAATTCCAATGAGCAAGCTTGAATAGCATTGGGTAGCCTTACAGCTGCAAAGTCAGTCAGTGAGAGTCTCTGCATAGAGGTAGTGAAGCAAGTGTAGTGTGTGTGTGTATGCACACACACAGACACACACATTTGTGGAATAGTGTCCAGGGTTGGAGAAAGATCCCTTGTCTGTTTGACGCAAGTGTGGATATTGCAATGAGCAAGCTTGAATAGCACTGAGTAGCCAGAAAGTTTGCAAAGTCAATCAGTGAGGGTCTCTGCATAGAGCTAGTGAAGCAAGTGCAGTGTAGATATATCTGTGGGAGAAAGGACCCTTGTCTGTTTGATGCATGTTTGGATGTTCCAATGAGCAAGCTTGATTAGCATTGAGTAGCCTTGCAACTGCAAAGCCAATCAGTGAGGGTATCTGCATAGAGATAGTGAAGCAAGTGCAGTGTATATATCTGTGGGAGAAAGGACCCTTGTCTGTTTGAAGCAAGTGTGGATGTTGCAAAGAGCAAGCTCAAATAGCAGTGAGTAGCCATGAAATTTGCAAAGTCAATCAGTGAGGGTCTCTGCATAGAGCTAGTGAAGCAAGTGCAGTGTAGATATATCTGTGGGAGAAAGGATCCTTGTCTGTGTAAAGCAAGTGTCAATGTTGCAATTTGCAAGCTTGATTAGCACTGAGTAGCCTTGAAGCTGCAAATTCAATCAGTGAGGGTGTCTGCATAGAGCTAGTGAAGCAAGTGCAGTGTAGATATATCTGTGGGAGAAAGGACGCTTGTCTGTGTAAAGCAAGTGTCAATGTTGCAATTTGCAAGCTTGATTAGCACTGAGTAGCCATGAAGCTACAAAGTCAACCAGTGAGGGTCTCTGCATAGAAGTAGTGAAGCAAGTGGAATATGTGTGTGTGTGTGTGTTTAATAATGCCCAGGGTGGGAGAAAGAAACCTTGTCTGTTTAAAGCAAGTGTGAATGTTGCAATTAGCAAGCTTGAATAGTACAGAGTAGCCATGAAGCTGCGAAGTCAACCAGTGAGGGTCTCTGCATAGAGGTAGTGAAGCAAGTGGAGTGGATAGATAGATAGCGCACTGCGTAATAATGTCTAGGGTACGGAGAAAGAAACCTTGTCTGTTTAAAGAAGTGTGATAGCACTGAGTAGCCATGAAGCTGCAAAGTCAATCAGTGAGGGTCTCTGCATGGAAGTAGTGAAGCAAGTGGAGTGGATAGATAGACAGATAGATAGATAGATAGCGCACTGCAGAATAATGTCCAGGGTGGGGAGAAAAAAACCTTGTCTGTTTTAAGAAGTGTGATAGCACTGAGTAGCCTTGAAGCTGCAAAGTCAATCAGTGAGGGTCTCTGCATAGAGATAGACTGGTTCTTGTTGCCTGGAGGCATTCTCTGTTTGGAAGGTGTTAACTGGCACTTCACACTTTCTTCAAAACAGGAGAACTCCATATAGCAGACAATCAAGTGACAGTGAATACCTCCAAAACAAAGGATGCCTCCAGGCAACAGAAGCCAGACCACCTCTATGCAGATACCTTCACTGATTGACTCTGCAAACTTCATGGCAACTCAATGATATTCAGACTTGCTCATTGCAACATTCACACTTACTTAGACAAAGATTATTTCTCCCACCTTGGAGATTATTTATTACATATATATCACACACACACACACACACTCCACTTGCTTCACTGCCAACAGAACTTCTGAAGATGCCATGAGCCACAGATGCAGGAGAAATGTCAGGAGAGAATGCTACTGGAAAACCCACATGTCCCACCTTCCCTTTAAGCGAGATCTGCTCCAGCCAACCTAGGGCTGTATTATGGAGCTATTAATGCAGTTTGATATCATAGTAATTGCTATAAAATCGGTGCTACGGAAGGCTGGGAGTTGTAGTTTTGGTGGGAGACAGGCCTTGTAAAACTACATCTCCCCAGATCCCATAAACCTTGAGTCACGGCAGTTCAAAATGGGGTCAATCAGCATTTGTTCGGCAACGTAGATGCAAACCAACTGGTTTTGGGGGTGGCACGGAAAACAGTCACGCAACGTCACGCAATGTTGTGATTGTGTGTTGTTTTTCCTGCCAGGGAGGTTGTCTGTCTGTCCAGAGATTGACGTGAGGTTTAGGAAAGACATTGGCATGAAGTTGTTGTCCTTCCGCTGCTTTTGTCTCGAAAGCCTTCAACGGCACAATCAAGGGCCAGTTAACACTTCCCAAACAGAGGATGCCTCCGGGCAACAGAGGCCAGGCCAGGCTACCTCTAGGCAGAGACCCTCACTGATGGACTTTACAGCTTCATGGCAACTCAATGCTATTCAAGCTTGCCCATTGCAACATTCACACTTGCTTCAAACAAAGTCAATTTCTCCCACCTTGGGTGTTATTCCATTATATTTATATGTACATTATATTATATTTATTATTGTATTGTATTTGTATTGTGTTTGCATTGGTATTGTATTGGTATTGTATTGGTATTGTATTGGTATTGTATTGTGTTGTAGTTGTATTGGTATTGGTATTGTTTTTGTATTGTATGTGTATTGGTATTGTATTGGTATTGGTATCGTATTGTATTGGTATTGTATTGGTATTGTATTTGTATTGGTATTGTATTTGTATTGGTATCATATTGTATTGGTATTGTATTGGTATTGGTATTGTATTGTGTTGTATTGGTATTGTATTGGCATTGGTATTGTTTTTGTATTGGTATTGTATTTGTATTGGTATTGTATTGGTATGGTATTGGTATTGGTATTGGAATTGTTTTTGTATTGTAGTTGTATTGGTATCGTATTGTATTGATATCGTATTGTATTGGTATCGTATTGTATTGGTATTGGTATTGTATTGGTATTGGTATTGTATTGGTATTGGTATTGGTATTGTTTTTGTATTGTATGTGTATTGGTATTGTATTGGTATTGGCATCGTATTGGTATTGGTATTGTATTGGTATTGGTATTGTGTTGTAGTTGTATTGGTATGGTATTGGTATTGTATTGTGTTGTAGTTGTATTCGTATTGTATTGGTATTGGTATCGTATTGTATTGGTATCGTATTGGTATTGTATTGGTATTGGTATTGTATTGGTATTGTATTGTGTTGTAGTTGTATTGGTATTGTTTTTGTATTGTATTTGTATTGGTATTGTATTTGTATTGGTATTGTATTTGTATTGGTATCGTATTGTATTGGTATCGTATCGTATTGGTATTGTATTGGTATTGGTATTGTATTGGTATTGGTATTGTATTGGTATTGTGTTGTAGTTGTATTGGTATTGTATTGGTATTGGTATTGTATTGGTATTGGTATTGAATTGGTATTGGTATTGTTTTTGTATTGTGTTGTATTGGTATTGTGTTGTAGTTGTATGGGTATTGCGTTGTAGTTGTATTGGCATTGTATTTTTATTGGCATTGGTATTTGTACACAATACAAATATAGATACAATACAACACAACACAATACAAACACAGATACAATACAAACACAATGCCAATACTATTGGCATTGTGTTTGTATTGTATCTGTATTTGTATTGTGTTGTATTTGTATTGGTATTGTTTTTGTATTGTGTTGTAGTTGTAGCTGTATTGTGCTGTAGTTGTATTGATATTGTGTTGTAGTTGTATTGGTATTGTATTTGTATTGGTATTGTATTTGTATTGTATTGGCATTGTGTTTGTATTGTATCTGCATTTGTATTGTGTTGTATTTGTATTGGTATTGTATTTGGTATTGTACTGGTATTGTATTTGTATTGTATTGTGTTGTATTTGTATGGGTATTGTTTTCGTATTGTGTTGTAGTTGTATTGGTATTGTGTTGTAGTTGTATTGGTATTGTACTTGTATTGTATCTGCATTTGTATTGTGTTGTATTTGTATTGGTATTGTTTTTGTATTGTGTTGTAGTTGTATTGGTATTGTGTAGTAGTTGTATTGGTATTGTATTGGTATTGGTATTGGCATTATGTTTGTATTGTATCTGCATTTGTATTGTGTTGTATTGGTATTGGTATTGTTTTTGTATTGTGTTGTAGTTGTAGTTGTATTGTGTTGTAGTTGTATTGGTATTGTATTGGTATTGGTATTGTATTGGTATTGTGTTGTAGTTGTATTGGTATTGTATTTGTATTGGTATCATATTTGTATTGGTATTGTACTGGTATTGTATTTGTATTGTATTGGCATTGTGCTTGTATTGTATTGGTATTGGTATTGGTATTGCTTTTGTATTGGTATTGTGTTGTAGTTGTATTGGTATTGTATTGGTATTGGTGTTGTTTTTGTATTGTGTTGTATTGGTATTGTGTTGTAGTTCTATGGGTATTGTGTTGTAGTTGTATTGGTATTGTAGTTGTATTGGTATTGTATTTGTATTGGTATTGTACTGGTATTGTATTTGTATTGTATTGGCATTGTGTTTGTATTGTATTTGCATTTGTATTGTGTTGTATTTGTATTGGTATTGTTTTTGTATTGTGTTGTAGTTGTATTGGTATTGTGTTGTAGTTCTATGGGTATTGTGTTGTAGTTGTATTGGTATTGTACTTTTATTGGTATTGGTATTGTATTTGTATTGGTATTGTACTGGTATTGTACTGGTATTGTATTTGTATTGTATTGGCATTGTGTTTGTATTGTATTTGCATTTGTATTGTGTTGTATTGGTATTGGTATTGTTTTTGTATTGTGTTGTAGTTGTATTGGTATTGTACTTTTATTGGTATTGGTATTGGTATTGTATTTGTATTGGTATTGTACTGGTATTGTATTTGTATTGTATTGGCATTGTGCTTGTATTGTATTTGTATTTGTATTGGTATTGCTTTTGTATTTGTGTTGTAGTTGTATTGGTATTGTATTGGTATTGGTATTGTTTTTGTATTGTGTTGTATTGGTATTGTGTTGTAGTTCTATGGGTATTGTGTTGTAGTTGTATTGGTATGGTATTTTTATTGGTATTGGTATTGTATTTGTATTGGTATTGTACTGGTATTGTATTTGTATTGTATTGGCATTGTGTTTGTATTGTATTTGTATTTGTGTTGTGTTGTAGTTGTATTATATTAATTATCCATCATGCTCAGATACACAGAAGCTCAACACTAGAATAAGATCCAACTATTGCCATTAAAGTTGCCCGTAGTTCTAAACTATGGAAGAAGTGCCGTTCAGCCGCTGCCATTTCTCATTGGAATGGGATTCTGAGAGTTATAGTTTCACAAGGTTTTTACTCACAGCAACCCAGTGATTCCAGCCATGAATGCCTTTGACAACACACTGTTGCATTTAGCATAATTCATAAATTAATAAATCTGGGGGGATCAATATTATTTTTTGCTTTCTTTGACGCAGGGGTGAATGTTTCGGAGCCCGCTCCTCCTTGCCAACCGCAGCAAAATTGCAAGCTTCCAGACTCCAAAGGTGGGTAATTTTTGGGGGGGTTTGTCCAGGTTTGTTTGGGGTTTCTAGACGTTAAGATGCATCCGTATTGGAGGAATTAGCGCAGTTTGATGTCGCTTTCAATGCCACGGCCTAGGGTTACATAGCCTCGAGCCATTGGCATTGAAAGCGACATCAAACTGCATTTTGGATGCAGATGTTTACAGGACTAAATTGACCTTTTTAATATCCTTTTTTGGGGGGGTCTTTTTCGTTCTATCCCCCGATCAGACATTTTCAAAGGCTGGGAAATTACCACCGAAAGGCTCCCGTCGGATCAGTCGGAAACTCCCTTTGCATTGCCGCAATATAGGTGAGTGTTTGGGGTTTTTAGGGATAATGGGATATGTAGTCCAGAAAGGATATTTGGGGTGGGGGTGGGGGTTAACTATGTTCAGTAAAGTCTTCCATCATGACTTTCTTCCCCTTGTGTGATTAAATATAACCAAGGTTGAGAGAGCGGTTCCTCGCTCATGCTGATCGGGGATGTTGGGATATGTAGTCCACAAAGGACATTCTTGGGGTGAAGCCACACCTGAGCATGTCACTTCCTACCATTGTGACTTTTATGTGTTACCCAAACATATCCTGATTCTGGCCAATCAATCGGTTCCCTCGCCTATGCTGGCCAGGGGATGTTGGGATATGTAGTCCACAAAGGACACTCTTGGGATGAAGCTACGTCTGAGCAAGTCACTTCCTTCCATTGTGACTTTCATGTGATACCCAAACATATCCTGATTCTGCCCAATTGGTTCCCTCGCCTATGCTGGCCAGGGGATGCTGGGATATGTAGTCCACAAAGGACACTCTTGGGGTGAAGCCACATCTGAGCAGGTCACTTCCTTCCATTGTTACTTTCATGTGATACCCAAACATATCCTGATTCTGGCCAATCAATCGGTTCCCTCGCCTATGCTGGCCAGGGGATGTTGGGATATGTAGTCCACAAAGGACACTCTTGGGATGAAGCTACGTCTGAGCAAGTCACTTCCTTCCATTGTGACTTTCATGTTTTACCCAAACATATCCTGATTCTGGCCAATCAATCGGTTCCCTCGCCTATGCTGGCCAGGGGATGTTGGGATATGTAGTCCACAAAGGACACTCTTGGGGTGAAGCCACGTCTGAGCAGGTCACTTCCTTCCATTATGACTTTCATGTGATACCCAAACATATCCTGATTCTGCCCAATTGGTTCCCTCGCCTATGCTGGCCAGGGGATGCTGGGATATGTAGTCCACAAAGGACACTCTTGGGGTGAAGCCACATCTGAGCAGGTCACTTCCTTCCATTGTTACTTTCATGTGATACCCAAACATATCCTGATTCTGGCCAATCAATCAGTTCCCTCGCCTATGCTGGCCAGGGGATGTTGGGATATGTAGTCCACTAAGGACACTCTTGGGGTGAAGTCACGTCTCAGGAGGTCACTTCCTTCCATTGTTACTTTCATGTATTACCCAAATACATCCTGATTCTGGCCAATCAATCGGTTCCCTCGCCTATGCTTGCCAGGGGATGTTGGGATATGTAGTCCACAAAGGACACTCTTGGGGTGAAGCCAAGTCTGAGAAGGTCACTTCCTTCCAATATGGCTATCTTTTCTGTGTGTCCACCAAATATATATCCCGATTCTGACCAATAGGTTGAGAAAGAAGGGCAGGGGAAGTGGATACTGGGAGTTGTAGTCCAATAAATATACTCTTTGGGCTAAGGCATGTTGAAGAAGGACACCTTTCTGTGTTAACCCTTTTTGATGAATGTCACTCCCTTCCATCTTAGCTTTCTTATCCAGGTGTCAGTCAAATATAAACTGATATTGGTCATGGGATGCTGGGATATGTAGTCCATAAAGGACGCGTTCTCAGTTAAAGCACCCTCAAGATAGTGCTTTCAAGAAAATGTATATCTTGATATTGGCCCATGGGCTGAGTGGGGGGGGGGGGAGAGAGGGAGGGAGATTCCTCACCTATGCTGGCCAGGGGATGTTGGGATATGTAGTCCAAAAAGACTTCTTTCTCAATTAAAGCACATCCAATAAGTGTTTTCAACCCAATATAGAGCTTGATTCTAGCCCATGGGCTGAGAGAGAAAGAGAGAGGTACCTCACATATGCTGGTCAGGGGATGCTGGGATATGTAGTCCACAAAGGACACTTTCTCAATTAAAGCACACACGAGATAGTGCTTTCAACCCAATATATATCTTGATGCTGGCCCATGGGCTGAGAGAGAGAGAGAGAGAGGTTCATCACCCATGCTGGCAAGGGGATGCTGGGATATGTAGTCCACAAGGACCCATTCTCAATTAAAGCACACCCAAGTTAGTGTTTTCAACCCAATATATCCTGATTCTGATCCATGAGCTGAGAGAGAGGACTGGCCCCTTATCCATGCTGACCAGGGGATGCTGGGATATGTAGTCCAAAAAGGACACTTTCTCAAAGCACACCCAAGATAGTGCTTTCAACCCAATATATATCTTGATGCTGGCCCATGGGCTGAGAGAGAGAGAGGTTCCTCACCCATGCTGGACAGGGGATGCTGGGATATGTAGTCCACAAAGGACACTTTCTCAAAGCACACCCAATATAGTGTTTTCAACCCAATACATCCTGATTCTGGTCCATGGGCTGAGAGTGAGGTTTCTGACTTGGCCAAGGGATACTGGGATACGTAGTCCACAAAGGACACCTTCTCGGTTAATGCACATCCGAGAGGGTTAGTTCCTTCCATCATGGCTTTCGTTTCCTTGTGTCAACCATCTGTCTGTATGTATATCTGTCTATCTATCTCTTGTTTGTGGTTCTCCCTGTGGTCCTCCTTGGCCCACTCATGTTGCCTGCCTTTTGCAGCTGGTGCGTCAAGCAACAAACAGTCGATCTTCTGGCCGAAGGACTTTGGAAGGAGCTGCTGGATCAATACCAGCCGGATATCACCGTCATGGACTGGTAAAAGTGCTGCCCTTTGCTCATATGGCTCTATACATTGTTCGGTAGCACTGGGATTTGTAGTCTAGGGCAGCGGTTATGCATGACCAATGGATACTGGGACATGTAGTCTGGCCAGGGGATACTGGGACATGTAGTCTGCAAAAGCAAATGCCTGCAGCCTCTCCTCGCTTGCCTTTCCCAATTCCAATACTCATAATATATCCCAATACTAATACTCATAATATATTCCAATATAATAATAACAATAATAGAATATTATAATATATTATAATATATTATAATATTATATATATATAATATATTAAAATAATAATATATATAATATATATTATAATATATATATTATTATATTATACTCATAAATATATTCCAATCTAATAATAGAATATAATAATAGAATATAATAATATATATTATAATATATTATTATATATATTAATATAATAATATAATAATATTATATATTATTATATATATTATTATATTTTATATATTATTATATTAAATATATATTATTATATTATATAATTTATATTATATTATATTAATAATATTTATATTAATATAATATTTATATTATTATATATTTAATATAATAATATATATTATTATATTATATATTATATTATATATATATTATAATATTATAATATAATATTATTATAATTATATTAATATATTTATATAATAATATATAAATATTATATATTTATAATTATTATTATATTAATATATATATATTATAATATATATTATTAATATTAATTATAATATTATATATATATAATATATATATTAATATATAATAATATTATATATATAATAATATTTATTATATTTTATAATATATTATTTATATAATATACTATTAAACTTCATTATACTATTTTATTAGCATTATATTAGGACATCTATAATTAAAACATAGTAGTCTAACGAATAATATATTAATTAATCTATTCATACATATTATAAACTCTCACACTTCACCGCTATATACTAGCCCATCTATACACCACTATAGATTACTCACGCCTACTATCGTCTTATTAGATGTTACCCTCGTCAGTCATGCACCAGACTATCCCCTATTATTATAATATTCTATTATAATATTTTATTATTATATTGGAATATATTTATGAGTATAATATCATATTTTTAATATATTATTATATATATTATTATATAATATTCTATTATAATATTCTATTATTATTATATTGGAATATATTTATGAGTATAATAATGTCATAATTTTAT